CAAATTGGGAGAGCAAGGAATAGTTTACCTATCAGATCTATGGAGAACAGAAGAATTCATGACCAAAGAGGAGATAGAGAACATTACAAAATGCAAAATGGATAACTTTGATTACATTAAATTGAAAAGGTTTTGCACAAACAAAGCCAATGCAACCAAGATTAGAAGGAAAGTAGAAAATTGGGGAAGAATTTTTACAACCAGTGTCTTTGATAAGGGCCTCATTTCTAAAATATATAGAGAATTAAGCCAAATTTATAAGAATATAAGTCATTCCCCAATTGATAAATGGTCAAAGGATATGAACAGACAGTTCTCAGATGAAGAAATTAAAGCCATCTATAGTCATATGAAAAAATACTCTAAATCACTACTGATTAGAGAAATGCAAATCAAAACAACTCTGAGGTACCACAGCACACCTATTAGATTGGCCAACATGACAAAACAGGAAAATGATAAATGTTGGAGAAGATGTGGGAAAATTGGAACACTAATGCATTGTTGGTGGAGTTATGAACTGATCCAACCATTTTGGAGAGAAATTTGGAACTATGCCCAAAGGGCTATAAGAATGTGCATAGCCTTTGACCCAGCAGTAGCACTTCTAGGGCTATATCTCAAAGAGATCATACAAATGGGAAAAGGACCCACATGTACAATATATATTACATATATAATATATTATAGCAGCTCTTTTTGTGGTGGCAAAGAATTGGAAATTCAGAGGATGCCCATCAATTGGGGAATGGCTGAACAAGTTGTGGTATATGAATATAATGGAATACTATTGTGTTATAAGAAATGATGAGCAGAAAAACCTGGAAAGACTTGTATGGACTGATGCTGAGTGAAGTGAGCAGAACCAGAACATTGTACACAGTAACAGCCACATTGTTCGATGACTAATACTGATAGACTTAACCCTTCTCAGCAATGCAAGGATCTAAGACATCTCCAAAGGCCTCATGATGGAAAATGCTATCTATATACCAAAGAGAGAACTCTGGAGTTTAAATGCAGATGGAAGCATGGCATTTGCTATTTTTCTCTTCTGTTGTATTTTGTTTCCTTTTTCTATTGGTTCCTCCTTTTGGTTCTATTCTTACTTACAACATCACTAATGTGAAAATATGTTTAATAAGAATGTATATGTATAGCCTATATCAGATTGCACACTGTCTTAAGGAGGCAGAGAGGGAGGGAGGGGGAGAAAGATTTAAAACTCAAAAGCTTATGGAAGTGTCTGTTGATAATTCAAAATAAATTAATAAAGAAAAAAAGAAAAAATGTTTATCAATTGATTATATATATGTAAATATGAATACATAGACATATATATAGGTATAAATGTATGTGTGTGTATGTTTCAGGTGTCTGACCTAGCTCTGAATGATGTCAAAATGACCACAAATACCCAAGCCGGGGATGCTTGTCATTTTCAGTTCCTTCCTGGTCCAGGAATTTCTCAGCTTGGTCCTTTTTATCTAACACCAATTCCTCCACACATAGTTCCCTAGAGCAGTGGTATCAAACAAATAGAAAGAGGGTCACTTAAAGATACGTAAGGATCCCTGCTAGCACACGGTGACTTAGAACATTACATATTAACATTATCTATGTCTAATTATATATTTATGTATCTTGTTAGATGTTTCCCACTTACATTTTAATCTGGCTCTGGCTGTGCTCTGGAGTGCCCCCTGGCCTTATGTTTGACATCTGCACTCTAGAGGAGCAGCTCAGCTATGCAGGCCCAGGTGCAAGAAATCATCAATCAGCAATTATCATCATTGTCCATATGTCAAGAGGATATCATCAATAGGGGATCAGGATCTAGGAAAGTTTTTTTTTTAAATTTCTTAAATTTTGAATTCAATTTTATTTCAGTTCCAAATTCTCTCCCTCCCCCACCCATTAAGAAGGCAAGAATTACAAAATTTATTATACATATGAAGTTATGAAAAACATACTTCTAGATTAGCCGTGTTCTGAAACAACAAAAAGCAAAAAAGAAAGAAAGAGAAAAAATATGCTTTAATCTGCACTCAAAGTCCATTACTTCTCTATTTGAAAGTAGATAGTTGTTTTATCATGAGTCCTTTGCAGTTGGGGTAGATCATTGTGTTGATCAGTTACTAAATCTTTCATAAATTGTCAGCATGTACATTGTTCTCCTGGTTCTGCTCACTTTACTTTGTAGTTCATGTAAGTCTTCTCAGGTTTTTCTGAAACCATCCCTTTCATCATTATCTTTCTTTCATTTTTTTTTTTTGGAGGCAATCAGATTTAAGTGACTTGCCCAGGGTCACACAGCTTACAGTAAATGTCTCAGGCCACATTTGAACTCAGATCCTCCTGACTCCACAGCAGGTGCTCTATCTACTCTTCCACTCAGCTGCCCCTTCTTCATCACTTCTTGCAGCACAAAAATGTTCCATCACGTTCATATACTACAAGTTCAGCCATTCCACAACTGATGGGCATTCCCTGTTTCCAATTCTTTGTAATCACAAGAGAAGGTGATGTAAATATTTTTGTACAGATGGGTCCTTTTCCTTTTTCTTTGATCTCTTTGGTGTATAGACCTAGTAGCGGTATTGCTGGGTCAAAGGGTATTTACAGTTTTACAGCTTTTGGGGCATAGTTCCAAATTGCTTCCCAAACTGGTTGGACTAGTTCACAGCTCTACCAACAGAGCATTAGTGTACCTGTTTTTCCACATCCCCTCTAGCATTTGTCATTTTCCTTTTTTATCATCTTAGCCAATCTGATAGTTATAAGGTAGTATCTCAGAGTTGTTTTAATTTGCACCTCTCTAATCAATAGTGATTTAGAGCATTTTTCATATGATTATTGACAGCTTTGATTTCTCCTCTGAAAACATCAATCGAGGAATGGCTCTTATTCTCATAAATTTGGCTCAGTTCCCTATATATTTGAGAAAAAAGACCTTTGTCAGAAAAACTTGCTGCAAAATTTCCCCCCCCCCCCAGTTTTCTGTTTTTCTTCTCATTTTAGCTGCATTGGTTTTATTTGTGCAAAACCTTTTTAATTTTATGTAATCAAAATCATTGATTTTACCTCCTATTAACCTCTTTATCTCCTGTTTGGCTATAAATTCTTCCTCTATCCATAGATCTTACAAGCAATTTCTTCTAGAAGAGGTATTTTTAACATTTTTTTGTGTCAATGGGTTTCTTTGGCAGTCTGTAAAGCCTATGTATTCTTTCTCAAAATAGTGTTTTTAAACATATAAAATAAGTAAGATTACAATGGAAACCAATTATATTGAAATACAGTTGTCAGAATATCATTTTAAAAGTTGAAGGAGGGGCATTTAGGTGGCACAGTGGATAAAGCACTGGCCCTGGAGTCAGAATGACCTCAGTTCACATCTGACTTCAGATACTTACTAGCTGTGTGATCCTAGACAAGTCACTTAACTTCAATTGCCTCAAAAAAAATGTTGAAGAAGGGGCAGCTAGGTGGTGCACTGGATAGGGCATGGGCCCTGAAGTCAGGGGGACCTGAGTTCAAATTTGGCCTCAGACCAAACACTTGACACTTACTAGCTGTGTGACCCTAGGAAAGTCACTTAACCCCAATTGCCAAAAAATTTTTTAAAAAATTAAAAAAATTTTTTTTAAATGTTGAAGGACTTCAGGTTGAGAACCCTTAAAGTTTAGTACAATTTCTGATCAAAGGCATAACACACAACACATTCTGCACACTCTAGAGCAGGAGTGGGTAACCTTCAGCCTCCAGTCCACATGTGGCCCTAGATTCAGTCAAAAGGCTGTACTTGAAAGGCCACATGTGGCCTAGAGGCCACAGGTTCCCCACCCCTGCACTAGAGCTATACACATACTACTTGTAATTATTATTAGTACTCCTAAATACTTTTGTGTATACATGTAGTATCTCCTTTAGGATACGATTTCTCTTTTTCCTTCTCTCTCTCTCTCTCACCAGCACTTAGAATTTAACAGGTACTTAATAAATATTAATTGAATTGAATTGGAAAATAGTTAATTATCCTGGAAATATTGACAGCAGCTTTCCTTCCATATACAGAAAATTTTTCTCACAACAAACCTGTGAGAAAGATAGTACAAGAATTACTGTGCCTATTTTACAGATAAGGAAACTGAGACGTTCAAAGAAGGGAAGTGGTTTGTTCAGGGTCCATGCTCCTACAGCTGAGCCAAGAATGGAAACCCAGATCTTATTTTTGAGGGCTTATGGTGAATCAGAAAGCACACCGGACTTTTTGTGTGGATACTTGGGTTCCAGTAGCAAGGAATCCACACAAACACGTACCTTAAACGTCTGATTCGGAGTCATTTCCTTTTTAAGAGCCTTACTTTTTTTTGATCTGCAAAATGGGGATGATAATTTGTTACACTACACAAAGACTACTGGGAAGAAAGCAAGAAAGAAGTAGAATGCAAGCTGTTATTATTATTTTCAGAAAACCGGAAAGCAGGGAGGAGTAAGAAGAAACTCTTCCCAGGTGAGCCAGACCTTCATTTCTCTCTAGGCTGCATACTTGACTCTTTGGACTTTCTTTACTATCGGTCTCCTCCCCCGCCCCCTTTTTGCTATTCAGCTTCTTTTTCTTTGTGTTGTCTTCCCCATTTAAATTGTTAGACCATAAGCTCCTTCAGGAGAGGGATCGTCTTTCTGCGGGTATTCCTATTCCCAGTGCCTGGCACAAAGTAAGAACTTAAAAATAAATGCTTGTTGACTGGACTGTACTTCTCACCCTTTCGGCTTTGGTTTGCTTCCCTGCTACCCTGGACTGGCTCCAAGCTGGGGTAAATTCAGGATGCGTAAGGCACGCCAATGACTGGGAACCACTGAGAGAATGTAAGACTCATGCACAGCTGGGGCGGGGCGGGGCCGGGTGGAGTTGCGCATGCACCCAAGCACTAGGTTGCCAGCCTCCTCCAGCTGAGCAGGGGAGGGGGCGGGTCACGCGCGGGTGTGCGCGCGCAACGTTCAGCGGCGGCGGCGAAACCGAGGCTAGCGGCGGCGGCGGCGGCGGTTAGGGCGAGGCTGCGCCTAGCTACCTAGGCCAGGACGGTGGTGCGCCTGCGTGCGTGCGTGGCCATGGGACGCTTTCACTTCACGCGGGACCCCATCCCCGAGTCCGTAGGGAGCGATATGCTGCACTTGAACCAGCTCAGCGCGGAGGTGCGCGCGGCGCGGCCTGTGGGTGGGGGAGGGGCAGGGGGCGTCCCCAGGGGCTCCGGGGGGCGGGGCCCGGCCTGGCTTTCGGTGCACGCTTCGTTTTTCTGCGCGCTTGGGTTGGTTTTGTAAAGAGCCCGGGGTCTGGCATCCCGAGGCCGGGGGGGTTCCCATCCGTGCATCACTGTGTGTGGCCTTAGACAAGTCGCATGCCCTCTCTGGGCCTTCGGGACCTCATCTGTAAAGTGAGATGGGTGAATTAGCGTCCTTACGGTCCCCGAATCATTGATCCTTTGAACCCCAGAAAAAACCCTTAGAACCAAAGCCAAGGAGATTTTAGGGGTGTGGAGAAGGGGATTGGGCTGAGGGGTGGCCCCCGTGTTGACGTTGTGGGGCGATTGGGGGGGCTGCTGAGACAGGGAAGTGCAGCCAGAGGTTAGACCCGAAGGGAGGGCTTCCGGGAGTGAACCCCATCCAGCCCAAGGCCGACTGGCTGAGCCCAGGGCGTGTTTGTTCTCGGCCTCCGCTTTCCCGAATTTTGCTTCGGTTGTAAAGGAAAGTCATCTACAAGGAAAAGTTTGTTTGACTTAAGGTAATGTTCCTTACAGGAAGCCAGGTGGCAGCAGTGGAGAGTGCTGGATTCGAGTTCGACAGACCTGAATTCAAACCCAGATGCTTACTAGCTAGCTGGGTGAGCCTGGGCAAGTTATTTAACCTCTGCCTGCCTCAGTTTCTTCGTTTGTAAAATGGGGATGATATTAGCACACACATTGTTGTGAGGATCAGGTGTGATAATATTTGTAAAGCGTTTTGCAAATCTTGTATCCCTGACCCCTTAGGCAGTCTGATGAAACCTACAGACTCCTCAGAAGAATGTTTTTAAATGCATAAAATACATAGAGTTACAAAGGAAACGAATTATATTAAAATGTAGTTATCAAGAGAATTTGGAACTTGAAATTTTAAAAGATCAATGTTAAAAATTAATTTTTAAAAATAATGGTTATCAAAAGTTTAAAGGGAAAAAAAGATTGCAGACAGCAAGTCAAGAACCCCTAACTTAGAGGATCTCCGAAACCCTGGCATCCTTCAAAATTCCAGGATTCCAACTTGTTTTGTGAGTTTCATGAGAGCAGAGGCAGCCTTTATTGATCGAAAGGAAGGTGTTCTATCTAGGCTTTATAGTCAGGGGAGATGTCTTCAAATTCTTATTCCCTGTGCTAGTTTTGTCGCCGTGGGCAAGTGGTTTAAATAATTTGAACCTCAGTTTCTCTCTCTGTAAAGTGGATGTAATAATACCTTTAGTTCTGTACTTAAGGGGTTGTTTGTATCAAATGAGATGTCAGCTGTTATTACTGTAAAACTTTTCTCTGCTCATTGCACACAGTAGGGTATGAAATAAAAATTATATTGTAGTCCATGAGCAAATACCTTAGTATTCTGTTAGTGGGATATTGTGCTTCCCAGCCTTTCTATAAAAATTAAGATAATAAAAACAAGGTGAATTCTGTGTAAACTACAAAATACAGGCAAGCACTAAATGAACATAAACCATATTTCTTTCTGAAAATCAAAACTAAGATCCAAACCCCTTTTTAAAATTAACACTTTATTGATTCCTTTTTTTTTAACAGCATACATTTTTCAACATACCACCATCCCAACTCACCCAGTGAACCTTCTTTTGTAACAAAAACAGTTAAGCAAAACCTACTCACACATTGACCAAGTCAGATAGTATATGCAACATCAGTCAATCAGCAAGTATTTAATAAGGGCCTACTATATGCTAGGTATTGCTTCATGTCAGGTATACAAATACAAAAACAGAATCCCTGCCCTCAAGGAGCTTATATTCTTAGGGAAATGTGAGCTGGTTACAAACAAGTAAATATATGATATATACAAAGTGAAAAAAAAAATTTTGGGGGGGGAACTAGGAGGGGAATTAGAAAAGATCTCTTGAGGTGGTGAGCTTCTGTACTCATAACACCTCACCCTTTTCTCCTCTCCTAGGAAAGAGAATAAGGTGCAGTTCCTTATTCTCTGGGACTAAGATTAGTTATTACAATTACAGCACAATTGACTTTGTTAATGTTCTTTTCATTTATATTTCTGTAGTCATTGTTTACCTGCTTCTGTGTCCAGTCATTCAGGTCTTACTATGTTTCTCTGAATTCTTCATTGTTCCCTACAGAGCAATAATAGTTAATTGATTTTCCATAATTTGCCCAACATTTCTCTATATCCATCCTTAGTCTCTCTCCGGAGTTCTTGTGCAAAAATGTTTATTGCCTATTGGACATTTCAACCTACATGTTCCATTGGCATCTCAAATGTAACATGTCTAAAACAACTCAATATTTACTTTAAAAAAATTTTTTTCCCCCAATCAACAAGCATTTATTTTCTCCCTCCCTCCTTTCTCAGTTGGGGAAAAAGAACAACAAAACCCTTATACAAATATGAGTAGTTGAGTAAAACAAGTTTCCATATTGGCTGTATCCTAAAATTCTGCAATTTGAGTCTCATCTCTTAGAGGAAACTTGTAATAATTTCCTCCCAACCCACCCCACTTCCAGATTTCTGTTTTTCTTGAATATCATCCAGGTTTGTAACCTTGGAATCATTTTCCACTCCTCCACTCTCTTTCACTACACATATCCAATTGACAAGTCTTGACAAGTCTGTCTTCATCACCTTTCTCATCTATTCTTTCTTTCTATTTACATCACCCTCACCTTACTTCAAACCCCCATATCTTCTTGCCAGAGCTATTGCAGTAGCCTAGTTACTGTCCTTGCCTTAAATCTCTTTTCCAGTCTGTTCTCTACCAAGCTGACAAAGCTGTTTTTCCTAAAGAGCAGGTGTGATCGTGTTGCTGTTATAGTCAAAGCTTGTAGCTAGTTCTTTGATACCTGTCGGGTATCTGTTTGGCATTTAAAGTTCTTTATCACCTTGTTACAAACGATCTTTCTAGCCTTATACATTATTTCCCCAGCACACTTTAGGATCTGACCGAACTGGCTGCCTTCTTCCTGACACAGGACACCCCATCTCCCATCTTTGTGCCTTTGCGCTGATTTCTTTATGCTTGTAGTAAACAATTTCCTCATCTCTTGTCCACCTAGTTTCCTTCAAAGCTTAATTCAGATGCCACCTTCTACATGAGGTCTTTCCTGACATCCCTCCCCAACAATACCTTGCAGAAGGTAGTATGTCTGTGTATATATATGTATAAATTGCTATCTATCTACTTGTTTATGTACACCTCTCTTAATAGAATGCAAGCTCCTTGAGGGCAGACTTTTTCACTTTTGTTTTTGTATCCACGTTTTCTGGTACTATGCCTGGTATATAGTATGTGCTTAATAAATGCTTATTGATAGATTGATGGGTCCCTCTTCAACAACCACAGAGTCATGGTATGAATATTTTGGCACCAAAAAATAGACCTTTTCTGTCTTTGACCCTCTTGGGATATATGCCTAGTTAGTGGATCTCTGGGTCAAAGGGTGTGAGTAGTTTAATGATTCTTCTCCCATAATTCCAAATAGTTTTTCAGAGTGTTTGGACCAATTCACATGTCCACAAAACTTATTTTTTTTAAGTACAACTTTTTTCCCCCAGTTACATGTAAAGACAATTTTTAACATTCATTTTAAACATTTTTTGAGTTCCAGATTTTCTCTCTCTCTCCCTTCACCTCCCCACTTCCTGAGACAGTAAGCAATTTGGTTTAAAACCTTAACTCTTAATGTAGAAAATTTCCTTGGTATTGCTGCCCTGGGGTTGGCTGGCTCTACAGTAGAGTTTATTTTGGGGCTGGAAGCCTAGCCCTGAGGAAGCAAACGAATCAAGGCTGTAAATTAAAGAGTTCAACATTTAGTCTTTCTAAAAATATTTATTGAGTACTTAACCTGTGATGGCTCTGCACTTACCCTTTAAAGGAGATGAATATGGAGAAGACTACCTTCGCCCACTAGGAGTTTGCAGTCTGTTAGGGAGATAATACAAATGATAATTGTCTTATTAGCTTAATATATTACTGTATTTGAGTTTCTCAGCCACCCATTAAGATAAATAAAGCAAGTGTTTATAAACCTCATTTTACAGATGTAACTACTGTGGCGTGTGTCTCTCTGCTAGTAATCAAGTAATAAACATTTATTTTTGGTGCTATTGTGTACCAGTGGCCTTGCTGGGGTTACTAAGGGAAAAAAAAGCAAAAAAGAGTTCCTGCCCTCAAGGAGCTTACATTCTAATGACTGAACTGTAGGAAGGTAGGAAGGAAGAACATTTATTGGGTTCTTATTAAATTCAAAACACTATGTTTAGCTCCAGGAAAACAGAAAAGGTCCTTGCTCTTCAGGACCAAACGTATTCTAATGTGATACATAACTCAAATTTAGGAAGGAGGTGTTAGCCTTAAGTCAGAAGAAAAGGGTCCCTTGGTCCTCAGGTTGCTGAAGCCAAGCAGGTGGCAGTGCATTTTCTTTATAGTAATTCAACATTTTAAAAAGAATTCTGAACAAATATAAAGAAGTATTTTCACACACAGAGCAGAAAGTAAGAGAATTCTAATATGAAACCATGAATCTCCATTTCATACTGATAGTTGTGTTTTATTTTTTTTAATATCTAATAAATTGTGCAAGTTACTTTCAAAACCGCCCAGCGTGGCTGTGCTTCTTTCTGAACTTCACCTGTTCTATTTGCATTTTTAAAAATACTACAAATAGACCTCTTTTTTTCTTTTGACATCACAGTGGCTAACCACTGTCTCCTCTCCTTCCCCAACACTCCTCCTTCCATTAACAGTGAAACTAAGAGAGGGAAAAACCTTTGTAACAAATAAAGTACAGCAAACCAAACCGATTCTGTGGCCATGTCCAGAAAAGTATTGTCTTTTTCTGCATCCTCTGCGCATCGCCTTTCTGACAGGAGGTGAGGTCTTAAGTCTTTCAAGTTTATTTTTCTTTACAGTGTTGTTTTCCTTGCTTAAATTGTTCTCTTTACTTTGCATCAGTTCATAATATCCTGGAGTCTCTGAAATTTTCTTTTGTCATTTCTCATATTCTTGTATGTTTTTAGACCACAATTTGAATCATTCCCCTGTTGCTAAGAAGCCATCTAAGGTAACCCCTGAGAGTCTTGTTCTCCCTTGCCCCCTTTGGTGTCTTTCCTGATGTTGCACTATTTGGTAGGCCAAGGACTTGGGTGGGATTTTTTTTCCTCCTTGGTCTTCCTTGGCTCTGGCTGCTAAGGGGCTGGGAGCTGCTGCAGGTGCACAGGTAGTTACCAGGTTGCACGTCCTGAAGGCTTACTCCCCAGGGTGATGGCAGGGTTGGAGAGGCGGGGTGACAGGGGCCTTTATGGATCCATAAAGGTCTTCTACAGGAGGTGGTGTTTCAGCTGAGTCCAGAAGAAAGCCCATGAGTCCCCAGAATTCAAACCCTTCTCAATTTCAGTAAAGGTTGTATATGTTGGGTTCATTGTGAGGGAAACAGACTAAGGGATTGAGCAGCATGATTATGCCTTCAGATATTGGACTTCCATTTGGAAAAGAGACTGATTCTGCTTCCTCTGGCGGAGAGAGCTATGGCCTACCTGTTAGGCTTTCAAAGCCCTTCACACCCTGGCCCCTTCCTGGCACCTCCTATTCCCATATTCTTATACTTTTCTATTCTTATACTTTACTCCCCTCCACATTCCCTGTGACCCACTGACTCTGCTGCCCTTTCTGCTCCTGGAATGGGATACTCCATTTCTCGTCTCTGATCATTTTCACTGGCTGACCTCCATGCCTGGAACATTTTCCCTTCTCTGCCCCCTAACTACCCTGTCTTCCAGGCTGGTCTCAGTAAAAAGTTTCACTTTCTGCAAGAAGCCTGTCCTAGTCCTTAATCTTAGTGTCTTCCCTCTGAGACTACCCCCAATTTATCCTGTATCTATAACCCTGTATCTATCTTGTTTGTATATAGTCGTTTGTCTGTTGTCTCCCCTCCTTGGGAGCAGGGACTGTTTTTTGCCTTTCTTTATATCCTCAGAGCTTAGCACAGTGCCTGGCACATAGTAGGCATTTAATACATGCTAGTTGACTGCCTGACTGACCTACTAGGTGCATGTTTGCAAGGATAATTTCAGTTGAGCACTTATTGCTAAGTTATAGAGCTGTCCAAAAATGGAACAATAATAGAGTTGACCATCACCACAAAGCTTCAAGCAGAAATCACTTGGCAATCTTGTGGTTAGGATTGGAGAGGACCCCAAGAGTCTTCTAGCTTTGAAGTTCTCTTGTCCATTTAATAGTCATGTATTAAGGGTCTGTTCTATCAACTGTGTTGTAGGCTAAAGGAAGTTCTGGATCTGTGCCCAAGAGCCTGCAGTCTGATATGGGAAATAACAGTGCTTTATATTCATTTGTTATCTCATTTAATCCTCACATTCTTGTGAGGTAATAATTACAAATAGTATTAGTCCTATTTTATAGTTGAAGAAATTGAGACATAGAGATGTGTCTGCGGCTTGCCAATCAGTGGGCACACAGCTCATTCCAGGAGGTGTTCAGACCTAGGTCTCTGCTGACAGTCTCATGCACACAGATGGAGAAGCTCTGTGAAATCAATTGAAAAAGATTGCTTTCAGCTGGGGTGGATCAAAGGGAAATATAGATTTACAGCTGGAAGGAAGCCCAGAGACTTTAAAGACTAAGATGGTTTCTGAAGTTCTGTCTTTAAATCTGTGATCCTATAATCCTAGTGGGTCTCTTGCCCCAGGATTTGAACTTAGATCCTCTTATTTGATTGAAATCCAGCATTCTCTGTAATACTTTGTGCTGGAAGAAACGTAGATCCTCTCATTTGATTGAAATCCAGCACTCTTTGCAATCCTCTATGCTGGAAGGCACTTGGAAGCCGTCTTGAAGGAGGTGGCATTGAAGCTGGGCCTTGCAGAAGAACAATAGATGCCCTGGTGCTGCAACCTATGGCAGAATGGAGATTGAATCTTCATCTCAGTTCACAGCTTTATGTAGCACCAACTGCTGTGTAAATACTTCCTGGTGCTGATGAGCTATTTTTAAAATTAACGCTCCTTCAGTGAACTGGATGCAGGTGGCAATTTGTTGTTGGGAAGAGATTTCAGGGTGTTGGAGGCAAAGGCTGGTTTGGGAAGTGAGCCAGGAGGAGGAGGGGGAGGAGGAGGTTTTTGATGTTTGGGGCTGTAAATGTTCTGAGGTCTTGCCTTGTTCTTTTCTTTTGAGATTCTGCAGCCCAGAGTGGAGTTGAATCAGGAATCTGACTCAGGAGATGAACGTACTAAAACTCTTGTTTTCATTTTTGCAGCAGTTTGCCACGCTGACCGAAGTGATTTTCTACTTTTTGGTTCAACCCAAGGAGGTAAGGTCCTTTACTTGATGACCAGAAGTGTTTGATTGGGATGCTGTTGTCCTGGACAGCCTGGAAAGTAACTGAGGGCTCCTTGCCCCTTGGCAGAGAGGTGATGGGCTGGCGATCTTAACCTTAATCTTTATTTCAATACAGTTGGTTTCCTTTGTAATCTTATGTATTTTATTTTATGTAATTAAAAACATTCTGAGAAGGGCTTCACTAGACTGCTAAAGGGGTCTGTGACAAAAAAAGGTTAAGATTCCCTGGATTAGAGGCTTAGAATGAGACATACTTTTTCAGACATGGCTAATGTTTTGTTAAACTATATTTATTTGTTACAAGAGAGGACTGTTTTTTAGAGGGTAGTTATTGGGTAGTAACAGAGGAAAGAAAGTAGAATCAATAAAACATTTCAAAACACAAAAGAAAAGGAAAAATATAAAAAGGGACATAAGTAATTTTGGTACCGTACACTTTATTTAACATAAGCTCTATTTTCCTTTTTTGCCATATTAGCCACTCTGATAGTGTGAGGTGGTACCTCAGAGGTGTTTTAATTTGCATTTCTCTAATCAAAAGTAATTTAGAGCACTTCTTCATATGCCTATAGATACCTTTAATTTCTTCATCTGAAAACTGCCTGTTCATATCTTTTGACCATTTGTCAGTTGAAGAATAACTTGTATTCTTATAAATTTGACTCACTTCTCTACGTATTTGAGAAATGAGGCTTTTATCAGAGACACTTGCTATAAAGATTGTTTCCCGGTTTTCTTCGTTCCTTCTAATCTTGGTTGCATTCGTTTTGTTTATATAAAAGCTTTTTATTTTCATGTAATCAGAATTATCTATTTTACATTTCGTAATGCTCTCTATCTCGTTTGGTCATGAATTCTTCCTTTTCCAACAGATCTGACAGGTAGACTATTGATAGACACTTTAAAAACAAGTTGTACGTGATAGAAGTTCTTGGTTTCATAAACAGTCCTTTTTTTGTTCATTGCATATTGAAATATTTGTATTTGATTATTAAGATTTTAATAGAAATGATTTTTAAAATGTTAAGGAGTTTGTGTTTTTCTTGTGCCACAGGTTGAAACATTCCTGTCTAAGCTGTCTGATTTTGCTGCCACCAATCAAATCAGCCTCGGGCCCTTAAGGAATATTGTGAAAAGCCTTCTCCTAGTGCCCAATGGTGAGTGAATGCATGTTGTCTGCCCTTGATGCTTGTTATTGGTGTTACTATTCACTCTGCCATGTTGGAAACAGTGCTGTCTTTTCTCTCTGTCTTATCATTCATGTGTCCTTTAGGCTTCTGAACTTTTGAAAAAATATAAATCAAAATAATTTTTTTTGAATGACATATTTATTTTCTCTTCTTCTTACCTTCCCTATTCTCCAGTTGATTAAAAAAGAATAAAAACGCTCATAACAAACACTCACAGTCAAACAAAACAAATTCTTGTATTGGCTGTATCCAAAAAACTGTATTTCTCATTCTTCATCTTGAATCCATCCCTTCTCTGTTAAGAAGTTGGTAACATGCTTTCTCATTGGTCCTCTTGAATTGTGGTTAGTCATTGTATTGATGAGAGTTCTTAAGCCTTTCAGAATTATTTGTCATTACAATGTTGTTGTCATTGTATGAATTGTTCCACTGGCTTTGTTTGGTTCACTCATTCATACAGTATTTCCAGGTTTCTTTGAAACTATCCTTTTCTTCCATTCTTATGGTACATTGGTATTACATTTCACGCCATCATTTGTTCAGCCATTCCCTAAGTGCTGGCCTCTAAGTCTTGCTGATTCTGTGGATGCCATGTCTTTTATATCTGCCCTCTTATAGGTCTTCTCATGCACCCCTCCCTGCTCCCAGGACAGATCTCACCCACCTGGACTATTAAAATTGCCTTGAGGTGGAGTTTCCCAGCTCTATCCTTTCATCCATCCATTACCCGTTGCTAATTTATCTTCCTTGGGCTTAGATCTGGCCCCATCACATGTGAGGAGAGTGTGGTGCGGGGAGAAGGGCCCTGAAGTTGACACCCTGGACTTCAGTCCTGGCTCTAACCTTACCTGTGAGTGAGCCACTTACCTCTCTGGATCTCTTTTCTTCCTCTATGACAGGGGTGTTGGAATAGGCACCTCTGAGGTCTCTTCTAGCTCTGAATGTGTGAGCTCTGACTCTTTAATGGTGCAGGTCTCTATTCCTAGTACATGAGTTCAGACTCCTTTGCTGGCCTCACAGACTCCGGGTGCCATGCTACTTTTTCACCTGTATCTCATCTTACTTCCCTCTTTATACTCTCTGCTCTTGCCACGTTGGAGTCTTTTCCCTGGATATGTTCTTTGGACTTCTCCTCCTGTGCCCTTACTCAGAGTGTTCCCTTTTTAGGGTACTTTCTCTTTCTTTCCCTTTCTCCTTTGTCTGTTAAATGCCCACCTAGTCTTTTTTTTTTTTTTGGCTAGGCAGTTGGGGTAAAGTGACTTGCCCTGGGTCACGCACCTAGTTAATGTCAAGTGTCTAAGGTTGGATTTGAATTCAGGTCCTCCTGACTCCAGGGCTGCTCTATCCACCTAGTTTCCCCCCCCCCCAGTCTTTAAAGCCCAACTCACATAGTACTTCTCTGATTTGAGTTCCACACCATTAGTAATGACTTCTCCCCCTCAGCCTTCATTTATAAAACAAATACTCTGTCAGACATTCAGTCAGTATGCATTTATTAAGGGCTGATTGTGTGCCCTGCAATGTGTTAAGTGCTTGGGGAGCTGAGGGTGGGAAGGCCCAGGATGAGATCTTACAAAGAAAAAGCAAAAATGGTTTCTCTTCCTCAAGGAACTTACATTTTAATGAAAGAGACGTATATAAATCGGTACATATGACATTCATATAGGGTCAGGAGAGGGTAGTTTTCTTTTCTTTTTTCCTTTTTTTTTTTTTTGGTGAGGCAGTTGGGGTTAAGTGACTTGTCCAGGGTCACATAGCTAGTAAGTGTCAAGTATCTGAAATTGGATTTGAACATAGGTCCTCCTGACTCCACTGTGCCACCTAGCTGCCGCTGAGAAGGTAGCTTTAGAGAGACACTGAAAGGCCTCCTGTGGACGTGGCTTTTGAGTGAAGTCTTGAGGGTAAGCCAGGGCTTCTAAGTGGTGGAGGTGAGAAGGGAACAGCCAGGGCAAAGACAAGGAGATGAGATGGAATGTCATGTGAGGAACATTCCCCAATTTTTGGGCATCCCCTTAGTTTTCAATTTTTTGCAACCGCAAAAAGAATCACTACAGATAGTATTGTATATTTTTAGTTAGAGTTTGTTTCCTCCTTCTTCTTTCTCCCTTTTCCTTCCTGTTTTCCTGTTGCATGAAATGTATTTCCTTACCTAGTTGTGTGTGGAGCTTAGCTGTACTTCTTCCTTGAGACTCTGCCATCTTGGCATCATCATTCATGCAATTTAAAAAGAAAGAGTTTTTAAAAATTGACATCAACCAAGTCTGCCAGTCTCTGCGGTATCTCACACCTGTAGTACCCCACCTCTGCAGAGAAGTAAAGGAGGAGGTACATCATCTCTTTGAAACCCACCCTGATTTTTACAGTTAGCCAGTGTTTGGCTCTGGGGGTTTTGTTGTTCTCTCCCATTCCATCATTGTCATTGTGTATATTACTTTCTAGGCTCTGCCCTTTACTTCAGTTTGTAAACTTACCCGTGCTTCTCTGAATTCTTGATACTCATAGTTCCTGACACAGTAATATGCTGTCATATTTCTGTACCACAGTCGGTTTAGCTCTGAGGAGAGCTCTCTGACTGCCTTCCTGGTCTCCAGCCAGTTGTAGAATTCCCAAGCTTGAAAAAGACCTTAAGTCCAACCGCCTCCTTTTTAAGGTAGAGGAAAATGAGGCTCAAAGAGTGAAAGAAATTGCCCAGAGTTACTCTGTGAGTTAATGTAGACAGGGATCTCTCGCCTCCCAGGCTGGGATTCTTTTTTTTTTTTTGGTTAGGCAGTGGGCTTAAGTGACTTGCCCAGGGTCACACAGCTAGTAAGTGTCAAGTGTCTGAGGCTGGATTTGAACTCAGGTCCTCCTGACTCCAAGGCCAGACCTCCATCCACTGCACCACCTCGCTGCCTCCAGACCAGGATTCTTTATATTTTTGTCCATCCCTAGCACCTAGCACAGAATAAATAGGTACTTAATAAATGTTTGCTGAACGAATGGTTCTTTCTACTTCTGTCCATACTAACCTGTACTGTTTCACCATTTAATCATCTAGTCTTTCTTTTGCTACCTGTTTCACAGGTGTCTGTCTTGTTTCCCTAAGAAACTGGACGCTTCTTGAGACCAGCAGTTGTTTTGGTTACTCCGTGGCTGGGGCTCAGTAAACACTGGTTGAGGTGAAGTGAATTGAATGAGGAGAAGAGGAGCAGGACAGTGCCCCTCCATCCCTACTAGATGACAGATATGTGTTTGTTTATTAGTCAAGATTTGTTAATGACATTCATAGCTAATCCTTTTGTGCGGGAGGACTATACACTTAGGCATTCACTCAATCAGCAAGCATTTATTAAGTGCCTCTTCTATGCTAGGCATTGTGATAGGCCCTGGGGATACAAAGACAAAGAGTAAACCGGCCCCTGCCCTCAAGGAGCTCTGTTAGCATCGAAGTAGGAGTACTGAGTCACTCTCAGAAGGAGTACCTGTCAGACCTCTGCTCAGAAATCTTGAGTGGCTTCTGTTGTCACACTCCTGGGGAGCTAGGGAGCTCTCTCCCTACCTTTCTAATCATATTGTCTTCATTCAGGGGCTCTGCAGACCTGTTAGCTCAGCTAAACCAAGACCTGCCTTTTCATCTCCCACTTCTGTGCCTTTATTTTCATTGTTCCTTATGCCCTAAATATTCTCCTTTTTTCTCACTGGTGGATTTCTATTATTTCACTAAATCACAACTGAAATGCCTTCTCCAAAAAAGATTCCTTCTCTTCTCCCTTCTGTCCCCCCACCCCCAGTTATTGGTAACAGCCTTTTTCCTTAGGCCTCACAGAGTATATTGTATGCATTTACTTTATCATGTAATTTTGTGGATTATAGTTTTCTGTGTTTTGTTTCTTCTCTCCCTGTTAGACTATGACTTCATGAAGGCAGAGTTCCTGTCATATCTAAGTAGAAATCACATAACCCTGAGTACAGTACCCTATATACTGTCAGCACTTAAGAAATGTTGGGAGAAAGCACAATTACAGGGTCTTCACAGTTTAGCCTTCTGTCTCATCAAAGTAAAGCTAACATGTCAAATAAAATGTTCATTGTTGTGAGAGAGAGAAGGCTAGCTATGCATTCATCTGAGTCTGAGACTGGCATTTTCTCAGGTTTTTATGTAGAGGTGGGAACATCCTTGACTTGAACAGATTCAAGTATTATCATTTCTAGCCTTTCTTTCCTTTCCTTAATTTGTGTTACTTCTTTTCACCGGCATTCTTACTGGGTCCAGGTTATTATTCTTTCATTCTCCTATTTTTTCCCCCCAAAACCTGGCTTTACTTTTTCTATTAGTCACCTAAGCTTTAAAAAAAAAAAGGACTTAATTTTAACTCTTGATTCTCCCTTCCCTCAAGAGGTTAACAAGTCCTATCAGTTCTTCCTTCATAATATCTTCCTTTGTGAGTCTCTTCTTTTCTATCCCCCCTGCAACTACCCCAGGCCAGATTCTTAATCATGTCTGTTTTGCTGCAACGATCTTGACATTCACCAAACAATGGGCAACTTTGCTCAGTAAGGACAGTCTTAAGTGCTCAAGGAGCCCCTGAGATGAGACCTAGTTCCTTCTCTGAAGGAGCTCACAATCTGACAGCGGAGGTGAGACAGATACAAGTAACTATAATACAAAACAGATTATAAGTGTGTGTGTGGGGAGGGAGTTGGTCCAGATACCTTTGATCAACCAAGGTTGTTCGTTCTCTACCCCCTCACCCCCCAGTTGATGAAATCACAGAACAGTCAGGTAACAAGGACAGGGTATTAATTAATGTCTTGAACATTGTGCAAAGAAGGATTGTCATTTTGCTCTCCTTTATGAAGTGTCAGGGAGTTGTTCCTTGATGAAATTAAAAGGGTAGCTTACCATTAGCTGGACTTTAAAACGACAGCTTGCTAGCCCTCGAGATAGTCTGGGCAGGATGTATGTATAAGGATTGTGACTCATGGCG